CTGCTCTGATCTTTATTATTTCGTTCCTTGTACTCACTTTGGGCTTTGTTTGTTGTTCTTTTTCTAGTTTCTTTAGGTGTAAGTTTAGATTGTTTGCTTGAATTCTTTCTTGTTTGTTGAGGTAGGCCTATTGCTTTGAATGTTCCCCTTAGAACTGCTTTTGCCCTGTCCCAAGGATTTGGGATTGTTGTGTTTTCATTCTCATTTGTCTCAATATATTTTTTTATTTACTCCTTGATTTCTTTATTAACCTATTATTTGTTTAGTTCCATGTTGTTTAGTCTCCATGTGTTGTTTTTCCCAATTTTCTTCTTATGATTTATTTCTAGTTTCATACTGTTGTGATTGGAGAAGATTCTTGATATGATTTCAATTTTTATAAAATTTACTGAGACTTTTTTTGTGGACTATCATGTGGTCTATTCTAGACAAATGGTCCACACGTACTTGAAAATAAAGTGCATTCTTCTGATTCTAACTAGAATGTTCTGTATCTGTTCAGTGTATCTATTCTAATGTGTCATTTAAGACCATTGTTTCCTCATTGATTTTCTGTCTGAATAATTTATCCATTAATGTAAGTGGGGTGTTAGAGTTCCCTGCTATTATTGTGTTACAGTCAACTCTACCTTTATGTTATTAATATTTGCTTTAAATATTTAGGTGTTCTTAATGTTTAATGCATAGTTGTTTACAAATGTCATGTTCTTTGTTAGATTGATCCATTTATCATTATGTAATGCCCTTTATTGTCTCTCATTATAGTCTTTGTTTTAAAGTCTATTTTGTTTGACATAACTATCGCTACTGCAGTTTTCATTTTCATTTGTATGAAATACCTTTTTCCATCTGTTCACTTTTTGTCTTATCTGTCTTTCGAACTGAATGAGTCTCTTATAGGCAACATATGCACAAGTCTTGTTTTTGAATCCATCCAATCATCCTGTCTTTTGATTGTAATATTTAGTCCATTTACACTTAAAGTAATTATTGATAGGTGTATACTTGTTGCCATTTTATTAATTGTTTTCTGGTTGCTCTTGTAGTTCTTTTCTTACTTTCTTCTTCTCTTTTCTTTTTTAAAAATCCTCACTCAAGGATGTTTTTCCATTGATTTTCAGAGAGAGCGAAAGACAGAGAAAAAAAATTGATGTGAGAGAAACATATTGATTGGTTGCCTCCTGCACAAGCCTGACCAGATCCCGGGCCATGGAGGAGCCTGCAACTGTGGTTGCCCTTTACTGCAATTGAACCCGGGACCCTTCAGTGCACAGGCTAACACTCTACCCACTGAGCCAAACCGGCTATGGCTCTTGCTCTCTTTTCTTGTACATTGATGACTTCCTAGTGTATTGTTTGGGTTCTTTTTCTTCATTTTTAACTGTATGTATTATAGATTTGGTTTTGGGTTGCCATAAGATTCATATATAACAAGCTATGTTTATGGCAATGTTTTTTAAGTTGATTGTTGCTTAAGCTCAAATGCTTTCTAAAACTACATTTTTTACTCACTGTCATGTTTATGTATTTGACATAATATTTTACATCTTCTCCTGTGTGTGTATTTCTTAATGCAGTGGTCGGCAAGCTCATTAGTCAACAGAGCCAAATATCAGCAGTACTTCTTCAAAATAGACTCCCCCAGGCCGAAAACTGACTTCTGTGAATGGGCCATGAAGTTTCAATCACACTGTACATGCGAGCCCACACTTGGTATTTTGTGGAAGAGCCACACTCAAGGGGCCAAAGAGCTGCATGTGGCTCGCAAGCCGTAGTTTGCTGACCACTGCCTTAATGGATTACTGTGTTACACATGCTTTTACCACTTTTGTATATTAATCTTCTTCTAGCTCTATAATTGGTTGATCTGCTACACCTACAACTGTTTGCCTTTATCAGTGCAAATTTTTTCTTTCCAATATTTTCTTGTTTTTAGTTTTGGTATTTTCAATTTAAAGAAGGTTCCTTAACTTTTCTTTTAATGTCATTTAGTGGTGAGAACTCTTTTATCATTTGATTATCTGGGAAACTCTTTATCACACTTTAATTCTGAATGCTAACCTTTCAGGATAGAGTATACTTGGTTGTAGGTTTCCGCCTTTCATTACTTTGAATATTTTGTGTCATTACCGTATTTGCTAAAATATCAGCTGATGGTCTTACGAAGGATCTTGTAACTAGCTGCTTTTTCTCTTGCTGCCATTAAGATTCTTTAACTTTTGGCATTTTAAATATGATGTGTCTTGATATGGGCCTCTTTGGGTTCATTTTGTTTGGAAGTCTCTGTGCTTTCTGGAATTGGATGTCTGTTTTCCTCACCAGGTTGGGGAAGTTTGCAGTCATTATCCCTTTAAGTAGGTTTTACATCCCTTTCTCTGTCTTCTCCTTCTGGGACCCCAATGATTCAAATGTTGGCACATTTGATGTTGCCCCACAGGTCCCTTAAACTAACCTCATTATTGATATTAATATTTTTTTCTTTTTGCTGTTCTTATTTACTTTCACTACCTTGTCTTTCAGCTTGCTGATTCATTCTCCTGCCTCAACTAATCTGCTGTTGATTCCCTCCAGATTATTTTTGTTTTCATTTCAGTTATTGTATTCCTCAGTTCTGATTGGTTGTTTTACATATTTTTCTATGTCTCTGTTGAGGTTCTCACTGAATTAATCTATCCTTCTCCCGAGTTCATTGCGCATACTTATAAGCAGTGTTTACTTTTAACTCTTTATCGGGTAAATGGCTTATGTCTGTTTCATCTACTAGTAGTTCTTATTTATTTATGTTTCCTTATCCCTTATTGGAATATATTTCTCTGTCTCCTCATTGTGTCTGTCTCTCTCTCTCTGTGTGTTTGTGTCTATGAATTAGGTGAAATAGCGACTAATCCTAGTCTTGAAGGAGAGACTTGTTTAGGAGCCTCTCCTCTGTAGACTGTGTGAGCCAGGTGCCTTTGGCAGGCGCGCCAGAGCTATAGTGGGAATGGGCCATAGGTGCCCTGGGGGTAAGGGGCCCTGAGCTGGAGCTGCAGTGGGAGTGGAAGTCCTAGGGACAAGCCACAGAGCTGGTATAGGCCTGGGGCCTGGGGCCTGGGCCTCATGTGCACCCTGACCACCAAGGCTGGCTGAAGCACCTGACTTATGTCCTGCCCATGAGACCAAGGGGGAGGGAGAGTGTCAATGAATGCCTAGCTGGGTCCAGTGCTCCTGACACCAGAGAGGGTTCCTGCAGTTCCCCTCCCACTTGCAGATGTTCTCAGTTAGTAAATGGATTTCCCTCCTTATAGTCTAGATGCCCTTTCAGCCACTGTTTTTCACTTTACCCACAGTGGGCAAGTCTGCACATACACCCTCAGGGATCCCTGCAGACTGCAGGTCAGTGCTGGGGGTGGGTGTCCATGGTGCCATGTCTCTGTCTCTCCCCCCTGTGTCTGTGGGATTTCTCTCTTGTTGGTCGAGCAGAAGTTGTTCAGTCAGCCCTCCTTTCCTCTCCAGGGGAAGGTGCTCTGTCTGCAGGTGGGAATTTAATGTGAAATGGGGGGAGGTGAGCTCAGGCCTTTCCTGCACTGTCGCCTTGGAGTGGGAACCCTTGATTGATTTACTGATTTATCTGTTTCCCATCATCTACTTCTTGTCAGTTTGTTTCTATTGCTATAGTTTGTTGTTTTTTTGTTTTTATGTATTGCCTTTTAAAACGTTTGATTTAAATTATTACATAAAATATTTGAATGTTCCTCAAGTTAAAACTATTAAATAAGATATATATTCAGAAAAGTACAGATTCCTTCAACCTATGCCCTCATTTTGCCCTGTAGACAACCACTTAAAAAATCCATTCCTTGTTTCTATAAATAGGTGACTGGTAGGTAGAAAATAAACAGGCAGATGAAATGAACAGGTTTATCTATATGTCCTTTCTCATCCTCTGTCTTATTAAACAAAACGCTGCATAAAACTCTGCTGCTCCGTGCCCACACGCATTGGGAGGCCACCCCACAGGAGTCTCTCACGTCTCCTCCAGGGCAGAGGATCACATGCTGGTGGCACATCAGGGAGCCACACGCTCCCCTGGGTGCCCAGCAGGGGCCCAGGTTGATGCTCAGATAAGGTCCACACAGGGTTTCCCGTGACAGACAGTGAGTTTGCCACACAAGCTGGAGGCCTCAGAAGCGCACTTTTCCCACTAGAGTGGCAGCTCTGTCCTGGTGGCCTCCGGGACCTGCTCATGGGGAAGGTGCATCTCAAGGCAGAGTCAGCACAGCAGGCATTTTATCTGAGGCACAGAAAGACTGAGGTATAGAAGCCATCAATAGACTAATACCATAAAAGGGGACTTCAAGAGGTACCGGGTTTAGACATTTTCTTTTAAAAAATTAGAGAAAAAGAGTGAAAAGAACATGATTATTGAAACAGTGAAGACATATCCTTACAAGTGGCCTGCTTTTCTTTTCTTTTTAAAAAAGAAATTTTTTATTGATTTCAGAGAGGAAGGGAGTGGGAGAGAGAGATAGAAACATCAATGATGAGAGAGAATCATTGATCAGCTGCCATCTGCACACCCTCCACTGGGCATTGAGCCAGAAACCCAGGCATGCGCCCTGACCTGGATTTGAATGGTGACCTCCTGTTTCATAGGTTGACACTCAACCGCTGACCACACCAGCTGGGCTTGTCTGCATTTCTTATACTTGCTGTGCCCTCTGTATCTCAGGGGAAAGGAACCTGTGTGCTTGTCTTTGAGAAACACCGACAGAGGCGACCACCGTGTTCAGGTCCATGGCAGGCTCTCTCCTGGCTCAGGAACCAGGCCGATTACAGGAGGGAAAACTCATGTAAAAGCTGAACGGAAACAAGGAAACCTTTTCTTCCTACTTCCTGTCCTTGAAGCCTGTGAGGCAGATGATTTCACTCCATATTTAATTGAGGAACATTTTGTAATGAAATGTGGGCCGAGGTGAGCTAAGGTGCACAGCAGACAGTGAGGATTGAACACACATGGACAGGGAGGGATGGAGCTCAGGTTCTGCAGTCAACACTGGGGCCTCCAGGTCCAGGACGGGGAGGAACCAGCAGGGAGGAGCTGCTGCCGGTCAGGAGCCAGGACCCAGCCAGAGCCCCAGGCGGCTCTCCTTGTGGAGTGAGAGCCCAGCAGGAAACCTCTTCAGGCTGCTAAGGGGCCTGACAGAAGGTTCTCAGCTGCCCTTGTCACCATGATCACCTCAGCTCAGGAGTCCTGCAGACAGAGGACAGTGCTGTTCCCAGGCCCTGCCAGCAGGGGCGCTGCCCTCCCAGGCCTCCTGCTGGGGCTCCCAAGTGAGAAGAAAGGCTCTGAGCCACGGGAGCCAAAGCTGTTTTAGAGCTGCCTCTCACCAGGCGGGAGGAGACCCTGCAGTGTAAGTGGCCAGAGCCACACCCAGGCTCCTGCTATCTGTGCCCTGACTCCTCCCCTGCACCTTCTGTTCTAGGGAAACCCAATGTGTCCCTGAGAGAGGATTAGAGAGCATTACCTGTGGGCTGAAGTCCAGAGTGTCCTGGGAAGACAAGGAAGATGCCACTTAAAAAATATGAAGGTAAGTGTGACCCCAAACACAGAGTCCCCCGCCCAGGCCACCTGAGCTTCTCCAGCAGCACCCCCACCCGCTGACACCAGAGCAGGGACAAGAGCAGAAGCTGAGAGCAGTGGCCTCAAAGCCGTCACCGTCCAGTGTCATTAGTGACCACAGGGCCTGCTCCTCCATGTGCCCCAGGATCTGCTCCCAAATCCCGAGCGTGTTAACCCCTCTCTAACCCCACAGCCATGACTCCTCATGTCTCCACCCTAAGAACTGGGAGCTGGTTATTTCTGCATTTCCAGGGAATGTGAGACCGACAGGGAAAGAGAGGCTTCTATGGCGTTGCCATACCCAGAGCTCACCCAGCAAAGCCACAGTTCTCCCCACCATCTCAGGGTCTCGGCTGCTAGCAGCTCCTTACCTTTCTGAGCCCTGAAGTAGATGAGCAGCCCCGCCCCGAGGAAGAGCAGCCCCAGCACGAAGCCCCCGGCTCCACTCAGCACCTTGCTCTGTGCGGATCCAGACTGGGCCCCTGAGAGAAGAAGCTGGTTTCAGTGGGTTTTAGCCCAAAGCAACTTCTCTAATGGAGACCCTGGGATTCAGAGCTTGGGGGGGGGTGAGTATGGGGGAGTGCTGCCCTGGAAGAAGCAGCACAATAGCCATTTCCACAAAGGAGACTGAGGTCACACTGAGCAGGTACAAGGCCCAGGCACTGGCCTCAGGTCCCCTCACTCCCAACCCAAGGCCACTGCTTCCGCCTCTGAGGCTGCGGAGCCCGGGGCTGGTGACCTCCAGGACTTGGCCCGGGTGACAGAGCCGCAGACCGCAGAGCAGCCTGGGCTCTCCCATGGCAGGAAGGTCCCCACGCTGTGGAGGACGCACCCATTCCCAGATCACAGTGGGCAGCTCAACGCAGGCAGAAGCACCCGCCCAGCCCACAGGGGATGGTGCCCAGGGCCAAGGGGCACCATGATGGGGAGAGTGTGGGGAATTCAAAGCAGGGCAGGCATGGCGGCCTCCCAGGGCTATGGGTGTCCACAGAAGTGATCGCAGGGCTACCCTGTGGCCTGTGCTGAAGGAGAGACACGAACAAAGGAAAACGGGGTGTGGGGAGTGGGGACCCTGGCCCCCAGGGACAAGCAAAGGCCCCTGAGGGGGGAGGCGTGTGAGGTCAGAGGGCGTCTCACTCCATTCCACGGTGACAGGGCTGGTGCTGCTGGGGTGCCGCACTTGGCAGGTGTAGACCTCCCCGCTCCGGGGAACTGTCTCCAGCATCACCAGGGTCTGGAAGGTCCAGTCCCCGTTCCAGATCAGGCCCGTGGACACCACCCCGGCCTCCTCTTCCTGGCCGTTGCGCAGCCAGCGGACCTCAATGTGGCCCGGATAGAAGCCGTTCACGGAGCAGACCAGGAGATTGTGGTGCTGCAGGCGCTGGGTCTTTGCAGGATACACGGTCACTGTGGGCTCAGCTGGGACAGAGAAGGCGGAGGGAGACGTGAGCAAGACAGGCAGGCCCCCTGGTGGCTCCCTTTTGGCCTCCTCTCCAGTCCCAGGCTCCAGGCCCAGGCAGTTCCACTCAACAGCCCAGGAGGTAGTGCCATGGGCCTTGAATCTCCTCCTAGAGCCCGGGCCACTGGATTTGAGAAACGTTGAGGAAATTTGTGTTTTTTTTTCCATAATTTGAAACAGTTACTCATTGTTTTTTTTTAAAAATATATTTTATTGATTTTTTACAGAGAGGAAGGGAGAGAGATAGTTAGAAACATCGATCAGCTGCCTCCTGCACATCTCCTACTGGGGATGTGCCCGCAACCCAGGTACATGCCCTTGACCGGAATTGAACCTGGGACCCTTCAGTCCGCAGGCCGCTGCTCTATCCACTGAGCCAAACCGGTTTCGGCAGTTACTCATTGTTTAATCAAAGTGTTTGCAAATCTTTGCAAGGCACAGAGTGTGTGAGTTCCAGTGTGATTTCTGGGGCAGGGCTGCCTGGTCACATCCAGGCTGTGCCTCTTACTGGGTGATCCTGGGAGACCCTCTCTGCTCAGCTCCTCACCTGCAAAGGGGGTGATAATGCTAACTCACCGCTTAAGGACATATGAGGACCAATGGGCCTGAAACATGTACAACAGCGGCTGGAACGTAGTCATCACTGTATGTCAGCTGTTTATCACATATGGAGAGAGAACACAAGGAAAGCAGAGGGAGAAGCTGGGGAGCAGCTTGGGGAGATGGGACTTAGGGTGTGAAGTCCTGGGAATGTGATCACACCTGAGAACACAGAGATGTTTCCCCTGGAAGCAGGAAAGACTGGGGATTCCCTAGCTCCGGGGGCTGAGTCCTGAGGGAGAGGGAGGAGCAGGGCAGGCACTGATTATAACCCTTACAGTGACACTCACTGAGCAACAAGCCCCTTCTCAAAAGAAGCCGGCCTGTTATTGGGATTCCTGTTATTTTATAATTGTCTCTCTTTTCAAGCTGACACTTGAGCTCACGGCAGGTGCTGGGACTCCTTAATACGTGTGCTTCCTGCTGAGACCAGGCTCAATGAATACAGATTTGGAGGAGGAGGAGGAACAGGAAGAGGAGAAGGGGGAGCAGGAGGAGGAGGAGAAGAAACCTGGGGGAAACAGTTTTACTGCACCCCAAAAGGATAGATTTAAGATTGATGGTAAATCATTCCTAGCAACTTCTGAGTGCATTTCATTACCTTAAAGATGTTTAAATTCTTAACATGGAAAGAAATAAAACAGAATGAAAACACAAGGCAGGAGCAAGTGAAAATGCTGAATCCATGTTAGCAAAGTGTCCCTCTTGCTGCCTAGAGAGCCTAGAAATTCACTGAGAAAAGGCCCGGACCCCAGGGATGACGGACAATAGGCCATTCTTAGAGCAGGAACAGCCATTAGCTGACACGTACCTGAAAAATGTTCACGAATCTTAGAAATCAGAAAAGGATAAATTAAATATAAAAAACAAATTTTCAACTGGGTATTTGACAATATTGAAAAAATATTTAACAAAATAGAATGTGAGGTAAATTGTCTCAACTCTAAAAAGTTAACATGCAATTACTTACATGCTGTCAGCCTGTGTAGATGTGACATCAGTGTGTTAAGTAACAAAATTACAATTAGACCCTGGCTCACCATCACCCCCTCTGTAAACACAGGGGCACTGAGGGGGGAACAAGACACTGAGACCTGAAAGGAGCTCAGAGAGGCCAGAGGTGCCTCGGAAGGCCCCGCCCCTCACACCCAGCCTGACCCTCCGCCCAGGGACAGGCTTGTGCACCCAGCACCCCTATTCCAGGGGCTCAGGG